AATAAAAATGCCTTCTATATGAAGAGCAAATGCAAGGTTGGATGCCAAAGTAACACCGAGATATCGTAAAGAGGATACCTCGTTGGGCAGAATGTCAATAGTTTCAGGACTGAGAGAGGGTCCCAGTCAAAAATACACTGAACCGATTTCCGCTCGTTAAGTAGAAGACCATTTGCTGACGACCGTGTTGAGACGTGGTCCAGGCAATCCTTCAGTACTTGGAGATGTGTCGGACTTTTAACAGGATGACCAACAACCATATCGAGTTTGCAACTCAATGATTAGAGCGTTGGACTTCTAACCAAAAGGGTCGCCGATGAGAGTCTCGGGTACTGCGCCAGCTGGATTTAGGTATGACTGGCTAATTACGGCTATTAAGTCAGAATCGGCCATTGCACTTCCTCCTCGTCTTTGCCAACGGCAATGTTCATTTGTCTACATTACTAGCCGCTGTTCTGCTGCTCTGTGAGCATTCATCAACGAAAAAAGTATGTTTGTGTCCACGCTCATAATTAACACATCTCTCCTATCTTCCTCTCTCCAGTGATGGACAGAAGATGAGCAAACGCGCAAAGAACTATCCCGATCCAATGGAGGTGATCGCCAAACACGGGGCTGACAGTCTTCGCCTCTACCTCATCAACTCACCCGTCGTGAGGGCTCAGAACCTGCGTTTCTTTGAGTCGGGCGTACGCGATGTCGTGAAGGATGTCTTTATTCCCTGGTACAACGCCTTCCGCTTCCTCATGAAGGTAACCCCCCGCCCCCCTGTCATGCACTTTACTCCCATCAGCTTCACGCTGTACAGTCTAACCTTTGTACATTTCGTCTCTAGTCGTCCATCCAGCCCTACGAACGGGCCTCGGGAAGGGAATTTAAAGTCCGACCAGATGATTTCCCCAAAACCTCGAACTACATGGACCAGTGGATTCTGTCTTTCACGCAGAGTCTAATGGTCTTTGTTCGCGAAGAGCTCAAATGTATGTGGGGCAGGTTTCATGGGGTCTTTTTAACCCTTCTTTTTTGTCGGTGGTACTGACCCAATTGTGAAAAGCTGGGTGGCCTCGCTGGGATTCGAACCCAAGCCAACAAGGGCAGGTTTGAGCATAGCCAACGCTCTTGCCAACTGAGCTATCGGGGTTCCACCCAAGGCTGCAATAAGGTCTTCCCCTTGTTGGCGTGAGTTCGAATCCCACCGAGGCCGCTGAGTTTTATCACAATTGGGTCAAATTACTTTTGCAATTGTATTAAACCCTTCCTAACATCTGTTTGTCTTTAGGCTATCGCCTGTACACAGTGGTGCCACGTTTGGTGAAATTTATTGACCACTTGGTCAACTGGCACATCCGAATGAATCGTCGTCGTCTAAAGGTACGTCAGTCCTTTCCCTCGTATGTTAAAAATAAATAACAAGTTGTGTCCTTTGGAAACAACTGCGCGTTCAGTTCTTCCAAAATCAATTTCCTTTAGCATTACACAGGGTGGAAAAATGCTGCAGTCACCCTTGTCTTGCCAGTTGCACGAAACAGGAAGAATGTTTTAAACATGCCAGTCAGAAGGGTTTTTATGAAGGCCACAAACCAGCCAGGGCTTGTTTTTGCAGATTAATTTCCAGCTAGTAAGGAAGTCTCCTTACTCTGAATCAAAGGAGTCACAAGTCTCTGCTGTAATAAGGATCTTTCGGAGTAGCTTTTAAATACTTTTGGCACCCTTTCAGCTTCGGAAGTACCATGTTCTGGGTCTTCAAAGCCACTAGCCGTTTGTTATGACTAGCTCCAGTACTAGTTCCGATCTAGTGCAGCCTCTAGGCTTTCGGTTCATCGACGTACCTTCTGCCTTCGACATTTCCATTGCGGCTTCTGGTAAAACTGCAGCTTTTTAAAGGAAAATGTGTAAATTCGTCTGCAGTTAGTGAACCAACTTTGGGACGAAACCTATGTTTTTAGGTTCAGACAAAGTTTGTATGTGAAAATTCTAGTCTATTTCCTCCAAGTTAAGCCTCAATCATTTAAATCCATTAGACTAGCAGTATGCTTACGAGCCATAACTCCAATATATATATTTTTTTGTAAAAATT